TCCTTACTAGACTTGGGCGCCCGGTAGCACTCCTCCCACTAGGATCATCCACCCCCGGGCCCCGGCACGCACTGACTTCCTCAATCCCGGCGGGCTTTGGGCTTTGGGCGTTCAGCTTGGGGCCCTCGGCTCCGGGTCTTCGGCTTGGGGTTTTCAACTTTGCGCTTTCAGCTTTGGGCCTTCGCCTTCGGGTCTTCAGCTTTGGGCTGTCTGGTGTGGGCTTTCAGCTTGACACTTTAAGGCCCAGCGTTAACCGATTGCCGGGCTTTTCCTCAATTTTTTGAGCTCATTCAAACCCTGGAGACCGCCGCGACGATGTGAAAGACGTGCGCGAAATCTTCGGGAAAAGTTGCCCGGGCTGGTCTTCGTGCGTTGTCTTTTTGCTTGAAAGGCAAAACCAGGCGCCGCAGCGCCTGGCGCTGCTTTTCGTTTGTTTTGTGTTTTGTCGTTTTTGGTAGCCTCGGCGCTGGTTCGTTGTGGGCCGCTCCTCGCATGCCGCTGGCATCGGCGCCGCCCCGGGTGTCGGCGTGGCGTGCTTGTGTGAGCCCCCCGGGGGCGTAGGACTAAGGACACCGGGGCGGCGGACAGGCAAAAGAAACGCAGGCGGGGGAGCAGTGTCGCCATGAGCTGGCGGCGGCCATCTCTCGACGCTTGAACACCTCCAGCGGCTTCCTGTCTCTTCTGTCACTTTAGAAAAAAACACTTGGCGGAAAGTTCGCGAAATCTTTGGAAAGAATCTTCGTGGAATCTTTTCGAAAAGATAAACGTGGGGAGACTTGTAAACTTTCCGCAAACATTTCGCGAAGGTTCTGCAGCTTCCTTTTGCCTTCCGTGTTTTTTTTATGAAGGCACGAAAATGGACCGCCAAGAACAAACGCGTGACAATTTGCAGCGGGGGCGCATAGATAAGGCGCCGCGTCTTCTGTCTCTGCTTTTTGTGGTCTTTCTGTTTCTCTCTCTCTCTCCAAAGCTGGGAGCGACTCCTTTTAGGTTGTGCATTAGGTTGTGCATTTGTTTGGAGATTTGTCGGGTGGTTGCGTCGCAGGCCGGCTCGTTGGCTTGTGGTGCTCTAAGTGCAGCGACTGGGCGGGGCGTGTGTTGGCCTTGTCGGCTCTGCTTTCAGAGGCTTAGCAGAAGCCGCCGCCGCGTTGAGTGGACAGGCGTGAGAGCGGCGCGCATGAGCCCCGGCAACTTTTCGCCAGGATTCTCTGCCGTCGGCAATCTTCCTCGGGCGCGGCGGTCTCCAACAAACCGCGAGGGCTTTGGCTTTATCGCGTAAGTTTTAGAATTATTTAGCGCCCATCTGCGTGGGTGAGGTCACTCAGGGCTAACCAATTCCGCGGCCTTTTTTTCAATTTTTTGGGTTCAAATTCTATAATACATTTTGAGTTTATCGCGCAGGTTAAGGCCGCAACCTTCGCGCCCATCTGCGTGGGGTCAGGGTTAACCAATTCGCAAGCCTCGCAGGCTCGTAAGCTTATGAGCCCATTAGAAGGGCAGAAGCCAGTGGCGCTGATGATGGTGATGGCCGTGCTTCTGCTGATGGTGATGGTGATGCAAGCTCGCTTACCGCTCGGGCGGGGTGGGGTGCGTAAGGTAAGTTCGTAGGCTTATAGGCTCAGCCAGACCCTCCCTCGGAAAGTTTGGAAAGCTTCGAAGGCTCGGAAAGTTGGGAAATTTTGGAAAGCTTGGAACCTTCGGAGCGCTTCGAAAGCTCGGAAACAAATAATAAGCGGGGACGTTAGGAAAGCTGGGGAAAGTTGTGAAAAGCTGCGAAAAGTTGGGAAAGAACGGTAAGGGAGCTGGGAAAGCGGGGAAAAGGTTGGGAAAGTTCGAAGCGTTCGGAAGGTTGGGAAAAGTCGAGAAAAGTTGCGAAAAACTGCGAAAAATGAGGGAAAACGGCGAGAAATTGCGAAGAACTGTGAAAAACTCGGAAAAGCTGTGAAAAATTGCGGAAAGGTGTGGAAAGTTGGAAAAATTTTGCAAAACTAGGCAGAATCGTGAAACAGTTTGAAGAATTCTGAAAAGCTGGGAAAAGTTGAGAAAAGTTGCGGGAAGTTGGGAGAGGCTGACGGGAAAAGTTATGGAAAATCTATGAGAAATTGCGAAAAAGTGTGAAAATTTCGGAAAAATTTGGAGAGGCTGGGAAAAGTTGGAAAAGCTTGGAAAGGTTTGGAAAGTTCAGAATTTTGGAAGGTTGAGAGTTTGGGGGGGTCGTTGCTGTTCTTTCGTTTAGCTCTTTAGTACTAGACCTGAGTGCCTGGCGGCACTTCTCCCACTAGGACCATCCACCCCCGGCATGCATTTCCTCAGTTTTGGCGTGATAGATTCCGCTCCCCCGGCCCGTCCCCCGCCTGCCAGCCGTCTGATCGTTGGAACAAGAGCAGCACGGCGGAGGACGGCGTGTGGCCATTAATTAAAAAGGTACAGGCCGAAGCCGCTGGCTTGTCGGTGTGCTCTTCTTTTGGTAGGTTTGGGCTTGGCCTGCTTTGCGTGCTGCAAGTTGCAGCGCTCGACCTCGAGTTTGCAGCTAGTCGAGCTCGAGGCTCCTCCTCTTGTGATACAGTCAAAGACTTCGGGTGGGAATTCTTCAAGTTTCCCTTTTGTTGGATATAGTCAAAAGCTTTGGGCTTCCAGTCTCATGTTTGAAACTTTGAGGCATTGAGGCTGGCGCCGCCTTTTAATTATCTCGAGCATTCAGCGAGCCTTGGGCCTTTGGCTTGGGGCAGCTTTCAGCTTCGCTCTTTCGGTTTTGAGCTTTCAGCCTTGAGCGTTCAGGCTTGGGCTTTGGGCTTTCAACTTACTCTGGGCGCTCGGCTTTGGGCTTTAAGCTTTGCGCTTTCGGTTTTGGGCTTTCAACTTCGGGCGTTCACCTCGGAGCCCTCAGCTTTGAGCTTTCAGCCTTGAGCCTTGTTCGGCTTTGGGTCGTCAGCTTTGAGCCGTCTGCTGTGGGCTAGGGCTTTCGGCTTGACAGTTTAGGGCCCAGAGTCAATCGATTCCTTGGCTTTTTTTCAATTTTTTGAGCTTATTCAAACCGTGAAAGCCTTGGCTCTATCGTGTAAGTTTTGAAATTAGCGCCCAGGCCCATCTGCGTGAAGTCAGGGCTACTTAACCAATTCTGCGGACTTTTTTTCGCTTTCTTTGGTTTAAATTTTATAAGTTTTGACGTTATCGCGTAGGCTAAGGCTTTAACTTTAGCGCCCATCTGCGTGGGGTCAGGGCTAACCAATTCACAAGCCTCGCAGGCTCACGGGCTTGCAAGTTCATAAGTTCAGAAGCGGCGCTGGTGCGTGATGATGGTGATGGTGATGCAAGCCCACCGATGGATCGGCTGGGGCGGGATGCGTAAGTCCCTAAGCTCATAGGCGCAGGCCGAGGCCCATAGGCTCAGAACTTCGGAAAGCTTTGAAAGCTCGGAATGTTTGGAAAGCTCGGAAAGGTTCGGAAAGTTTGGGGAGCAAGCTCGCTGGGAAAGTAGGGGAACAAGCTGGGAAAGTTGAGAAAAGTTGAGGAGGCGGGGAAGGCTGGAAAAAGTTTGGAAAGTTGGAAAAAGGTGGGAAAAGTCGGAGAAGAGTGGGAAAAACTTGGGAGAACTTGGGGAGCTTGGGAAAGTTTGGAAAGTTCAGGGGTTTGGAAGCTTGGGCAAGCTGCGAAAAGGTGGGAAAATTTGCGAAAAGCTGTGAAAAGTTGGGAAAAAAAAGCGGGCAAAAGTTGGGGGAAAAAAGCTGGAAAAAGTTGGGAGAAGTTGGGGAAAGTTGAGTTGGGAAAAGAAGTTGAGAACAAAACCTGGGAAAGGTTTGGAAAGTTCGGAAAGTTCAGAAGTTTGGAAAGTTCAGGAGTCAGAAGTGGAAGGCTGAGAGTTTGGGGGGGTCGTTGTTGTTTTTCAGTTTAGCTCTTTAATATTTCAACAAGTACTTGTCCTCTCCTGGCTTCAATCATCGCGACGTCGAACTTCTGGTACCGTGAGTTTCGTCTTTAATTCACGTATCTATAGTATACTAGTCTCAATGTCATCTCATATTCATACTTTCTTGACATCCAGAAATAGGCGTACAACTCCCTGTCCGAAAGCACAGTTTATACTGAGGAAGGCTGAGCAGGTGTTGGTAGCTCTGAGTTTTATAACGTTCATTCTTACTTAATTAGAGCTAGTACTAGAAGAGTGAGAATCTTGCGTTGAGGTTCTTCCAGTTCCAGTATTCAGGCTGAAGAGATTAATACACAAATACGGGCAAAAATGTAGTGGCTTGTCATCAAGGAAGTCACTTGATTTTTTCTACTATGGGAGTACGTACCTAGCAGGTGGGAAGTTACAGAATCTCCAAGGCAGGTAATTTAAGTCGTAAGGACGACCTTTCGCGATCGCGTTTCAGAACTTTTTTATGATCTTTGCTCGTCCTCACGCATTTTGTGATCATGGTCTGAAAGAACGGTTCAAAACGACTACAAAAAAATTCAAGCGATCCTAAAAATTTGGATAAGATTTAAGATGAAGATTGGATTTGTGAGGTTTAGCAAAATCAGAAAATATGTTTACAACATTTTTGAACTATGACAATGTGAAGAATAGCAATAGCAATAGCCACTAAATATGTATTGATTAAGACACATCATTTATCTTGTATGCGAAGTTAATTGATTGCCAAAATCTACACTCCTCATCATTATCTTGTATCGGAACATGATCAACTGTGGAACGATACAGAAGTCTTTGCTACGCTGCAAATGTAGCTAAGTAGACAGTTCCTGGATATTCCTCGACAATCCCGTCGACCGAAACTAAGGACTTAACTGAGTTCTTCATGTGGAAAAAACTACAGCACGTGCAGTGGTCCGGTAAATACGGCGATTGTCGATAGAAGAACTAGAAGGATCAGATGAGCAGGGATGAATGCGTGGTGGCTCGAGAGTATTATCATCTTGATATTAATAGGATCAACAGCGGCTAGTTTGAGGTGGTCTGTCAATCACTCCTATGTGTAAGAATTTTGAGGGGAGACCCAATCAATGGAAGGAGAGACTAGGCGAGAGTAGGGAATCTTGTAGAGGTGTTTAGACGAGGTGACCATAAGAATGTAAGAGTTGTATGTTTAGTGGAGTGCCACCGTCTTTGAGCTACCTGATGTTTGCGCTTACCCTGGCCGACCACATCCATTTCTATCGACACAATTATTCGTTGCACTAGTCGATCTTGTGATAATATAGTACTTGATGTTAAAAAATGGAGAGAAGATTTTGAGATGCCCACTGACTATGAATAAGACTATTGTTGGATATTGAGATAAGAATAAAGTAAAAGTGTTTATTACAAGGAAGCAGTACTAATAAAGTATCTTTCGTCTCTACTTTCCGACTGGTTGTTTTTAGTGGATCTGACAAGATGTTGGGGTCGTTCAGTAAGACCTCAGCTCGTCGCTTTTGCACCAGCCTCTCCTCGTGGAGTGGTCGGCATTGGCTTTATCTTCTCTGCGTTGTGCCTCATCTGCTATACTTACTCGTCGAAGAAAAGCAGGCATGGGTTCCGCAAATATTGCGAGCTCCGATTACGCATCTGCGATCTCAGACGACGCTCCGATGGGCGCACTTTTCACTCTTTCCACCAAGTCCAGAAGGATCTGCGATTTTATCTGTGGTGAAAGGAACAAATGGCGAGGAAGAATCTTCGCCAACCACGTTGAACGTGAACGTCAACAAAACGCGAACTGGACGCAGAAGGAAACCTGCTAAAACTTCTGTTACATTAAGACTCTTACTTTCCACAAATCCATCTTCTTGGGAGGAACATCTTTTGCCTTTGCGCAATATTTTTCTAGTGGACACATTAAATGAGAAAGAGCTAAAACTATTAATGCTCTCGGATCGAGCCTGTTGCCCAAGGTGGATTTGCGGGGTGAGAAAGTCTAATTACTTTTGCGAACCAGAACTGGATGAACGCGTCCACGACTGATTTACTTCCGAGAAATAGGCGTCTTGGCGATCAGAGACCACCAAGTAGTATCGTGGGTCCTCTACCAACGTCGAGGTCGGCCCCACCTGCTGCTCTCTTCGCTGACGAGGAAGAAATGAGCCTGGCTGTGGTACCGCCAGCAACGAAGTCGATGGTGCGCCTGACATCTTCTGCTACAATAACTGCAGATTATGGCAACATCCATCTTCAGCGCGACGGGGAAGAATACTGTAAGCTCTTCGCGATGGCAAACACCTACGGTTTGATCGACTTCTCTATCTTCGAGCCCGATTACTGCTCGAAGCCCGACCCAAACGCCGCTGGAAACGCAATGATCGATCCCAACAGTGTAGACTGTACGAAGCTCATGGAGTTTCTCTTCCTGATTCGCGGCTCAACCAAAAAACAGATTCTGCACGAAAAGGAACTCTTTCAAAAAGTACTTACTGGAATTCGTTTGACGCTCATTCTCCCTTCAGCTAGTGCAGGTGGTGGTCTCCCTTTCCACGTTCACCTTAGATTACGAGGAGAGCAAGGACAACATAGTCAATATCGATATTTTTAGATGACATAGAAGTAGTTAACTACAAAGCGATGAAACCCTCCAGGATCTTGCGACAGAGTCTAGTTATCCGCCGGTAATGTACGTAAATCGAGTAGCGATGTTTGTTACAGCGCATGCACATATTGTTGGAGCGATTATATCACAAAGGGACCAGTGTTTCTCGGAGCAAGTGCGGCTACTTTTCGTGGTCAATCTAAGAAGGTACTACTAACTTGTTGTACGTTAATACTCAGTGTCCTGAACCTGAACATGATGTTGTAGTTCCGGCCTCGACCTCGGTCTTCGCGTAATATTAAGATGAAAGTACAACTTCGTTATTTCATTTCCATGTAAGCAAGTACTCCTTCTTCATCTTTACGTTCACATCGACTTCGACATAACTTCTTTGAAGATTGCTCATTCTAGGTTCAAAACACTTGTTTCGGAGCAATTTCGTATCATCTGGTTAGCGTATCAGGGGAAAGACCCCGAAGGGTACTGCTTCACGGAGAAGTGCACGAAGCGTGGAGGCTTTCCTGAATTGGTCGACAACTGGATCACCAGAGTATTGAAACTGATCGATAGCGACCTAAAGACTTTCAAATCCGTCTTAGAGACATGGAGGCCACCGTTACCAGAGGAGGCTCACTTCTATTCGCATGAAACAGACGGCAGGTATAATTTGACTTTCTTCTGGTACGTTTTCTTTCTACTTACTAGGGTTCTCTGACTTATCACAGTGCACCAGGAGAGCTGCGATAACTTCGAACGACGAGGTTTTGGTAAGGACAGCCTTGTACTAGATAATTTTACAGGAGATGTCCATGTCCTGAAGTCATCACGCCACACGCTGCATCTCAGGTTCACTACGCTGGAAATGTTGCGACGAGCAACTTTCAACGAATGGTTTGTGGATACGGGCATGCTGCGGGCAGCGCTCCGAGGTGGTGTTTTTCCAGTGGGATCAAGTGTGGCAGACCTTGGCGCCGGAACTGGGGAGTATGCGAGGTGGCTAAATGACACAGGACTCGTGGATGCCTTTTCCTTCGACGGAAGTGCAGATATCGAACTCCTTACGAAGAAAAAAGTGAAGCACCTGAATCTGGTATCAAAGCATATGCATCTCGATATAATTATGTCGCTGTTAGATGTCAACGATAGGTGATCATACGAAATGATAGTGGTTGAAATTCAAGTTTGTCATCGTCATTGTTGTATAGTAGAATAATTTATAGAACGGATGTAGGATGGACTTGGATGGATCGGGTGGACCCTCCTAAGTCTTTGACTGTACTTGAAATGGTGGGAAGTCCATCCGATCCATCCGATCCATCCCATCCCGGATCTGGAACCCCTAGATTATGTAGAAACTGCTCGAGTATAGTTAGGAGTGGGAAACTTGTGCCCTGAACAAGATTGAGCTTGCCCATTTCCACATATAATTGAGGTAACTTCTATCCGACGTCCGCAAAAGTACAACTGGGTGTTGCTAATCGAAATTTGCGAGCACATCCCGGCTGAGCTACACCCTATCTTCTTTCAGAATGTAAATTTGTTTGCGGGTGACGGCATCGTGCTGTCATGGGCACCGCCACAGATCCCGAACATTGGACACACAAACCCTCTGCTCGAAAAGGACGTGAGACAGGTCTTGGCAAGGTTTCTGCCTTTATTTGCAATCGACCAAGAGTCCACAAATTTGCTGCGAGCGCATAGTCAAGTAGGCTGGCTCAAGAACACGCTTACTGTGCTCCGACGCTACCCCGAGAATCTCGCGGCAGAAGTCGCGTCGTCCTGCAACGCGCAGGAACACATAATGTACGCCGGAGAAGACGACGCGGTTCTCGACAACTCCCACAAGCCACAGGTACTTTTTCCTCTATCTTCTACCACTTAGATACTATGTTCTACGAGGAACACATGAATAAAGAGATAGACGCATAACTGCATGATCACCTACGTAAAAAGCATGTAGTGAAAACTGAAACTTACTAATTGCTCTAGCACTTAGTGCCGATGATGTTTTCTTGGGGGTGACGCTAAATTTTCTGCCACTTTTTAGGTATGCTGCGATGCTTGTGCGACCAATCCGGACTGTCAATTTTGGGTATGGTCGCATGCGCAAAGAACATGTTGGTTGAAGCGAACCAAAGAGTATCAGACAGAAGAAAAGGGATTCATTTCAGGGTCGAAGGCCCTAACACGGACAGAACTGTAAAGAGGCATGCTAGTACAACTAGTATTTAGTCGTGGTCGTGCGTGGTCTTCTACCTCTTTGTTCTGCCTTGTTGTGGTACTAACTTCGATATTAAGGTCGGCAGAGGATCTGATAAGGCCTACACCTATTGACCTTGCTAAATGACGTGCTACAACTGGATACTAGACGAAAATTTATGACCACAAGAATTTCCCATTCCCACAAGAATTTAAATTGTCGCTCTAGCAACATCTTCATACAACATTATCATGGTCTTGCTGTGCCAGTCAGGCTCTGGCACGACTCCTACTTTTTGTCATACTTGTTTTGGTCAGATACGGCTTCGTGGTTACACGTGTTCTGTTTCTGCATAGGCCTGCGTTCGCCCTGCCATGCTTTCTGCAAAGCCTCTCATCTACACAGGAATACCTTGCAGTTGAAGGATCTTTTCTTTGTGTTCAGCTAGCCTTTCCGGATGTCCATGTCGAAGGACGTGTTGCCATTATATCACAGTGACTCGAAGCTTCGTGACACCTGAAACCTTGTTACCTAGTCTGTTTTGTGAGCCTGAGCCAGGATTTGGATCGAGATTACGCCGAACGCGCTGGCCCTGGCGCCGCTGAAATTATAAGATGAAAGAAAACAAAAAGATACTGATCTCCAACAACAAAGTGATCATGATGTTGATCTAAATCTATTTGGTCGACGTGGTTCATAGCTTGTTTTATTTGCGGCATTCCATAGCTTTAGCTAATAAATATCCATGTCCATCCTTGCCCTGGTACTGCTAGAAGCTGAGCAAAAGGTAGACATGCCTAGAATCAAGAATTAAGTAGACAGCTGATAATTTTTCGATGAGATGCTCTCCGAAACTGTTTTGCTCAACAGCACGCAGTCGCAGCGAAACCGCAAATACATGCTCCACTGTCAGCGTGTATTTCGTTCGAAAATACAAACCCAAACGACAGCTTAAGCCCGACGATTTCATGATAACGCCCACCTTACTGGAAGGGAATCCACTAGTAGAAATGAAGGCTGTAGGAGTCTTCCATGCGGATCATTTGGATTTATTAGCAGTGAAACTAAAGCCACCCACTATTATACAAGAATATTTTGCTTCTCACCGCCTACAGCTCTGGTACCAGCCGCATAGACTTCATAAAACATTTTCTTGGGATGGTGCAGATGCACAAGGTGAAGCTCTAAACTGCACAAGAAAAAAAATCCAAAGGTTCTTTTCAACGATGACTGTCAAAAACATGTCGCTGGAGGTTCGACGTACCGAATCAAGTGGAGGAAGTTCCACAGAGCTACTTTCCAGCGAGCAGCTGCAAAGGAGAGAAATAGAGCGCGACCTCAGAGAGGAGAAGAAGGAACTCGATGCGAGGACTACCTTCTACTCCGAGAACAGTGCAACAAATCCTGCTGAGGAACACTATGTTGTCGTTGCCATGGGCTCGAACTTGGGAAATCGTGTGCGACACCTCGAAAACGCGCTTCGCCTCATTCATGCAACAGAGGGAGTCCAAGTGCGCAATATGTCAAGCCTCTATGAATCAGCTGCGCAGCCGAAGTTTGTAGAGGGGATTCACGAAGCGAAGTCGTCAGCGATTGCAACTGCAGTTCTTACACGAAATAACTACGCTGAACTAGGTTTGTCAACTTGTAATAGATCTTCGTCATTATATCCGACATCGACTGCTGACAGAAGAGTAAGTCGTTCTCGTTCTGGGAGTTGTATTAAAGAAGATGGCGTAGGGGAAGGCGTACTCGATGTTAATATTGAAGCAACATCTCATCTTCAGTCGACACCATCTACGACGGACGGCGCTAGCTCACGACCTGACAGCTCGCTTTCCCCCAGCAGCAGCCCACAACGGCGTATTAGACGACCCGGCCTAGCTGCAGACTCCATGGCACTCGCTCAGTTTCAGTGTTCAGCATCAGATGAGAGAAGCGCACCTTACTTGAATGCATGTTGCAGCTTATCTACGACACTGTCGCCCGTGGCGCTACTATCTGCACTTCAGGAAGTTGAAGTGCGTAGTGGTCGGCAGCAGATGAATAAACACATAGCGCTCTCAGAAATTCTAGTAGATGAGAAGGACTTCCAAGACGACGTAGAGCGTTTGCGATACCTTGCCGCGGCACGACCAGTCGATCTCGACATTTTGCTATACGACGACTCCCAGCTAGGTACTAGTACATCCTCCTCCTCTTTGAGATCCTCGTCTCAGGTGGTCGAGGGCAACCAGAACGAAGCACATGCTAGCTCTACGAGCATTACCTCGTCGTTGGACTTACAGATCCCGCATCCGCGAATGCTCTTTCGAGATTTCGTTTTGAAGCCTTTACAAGAACTTTTGCGAGCAGATGAGAGGCAAAGCTTCCGGCATCCCGTGACGGGCGCGGTCTTGTGTGACCTCAGTATGCCAGATGGCGGCGGCGGTCCCTTGCGGTACCTCCCTGGCCTGGGCACGAGCGCGTCTTCTGCCTTTGAATCTCCTGGTCGTCTGTTAGACACTGAGTCACCAGAGCAGTCTTCCTTCTCGAAATCCGGTATGCCGTTTGTATTGGGTATTTTAAACACCACTCCGGATAGCTTCAGTGATGGAGGGTTGTTTTTGGCATCGGAAGCAGCGGTAAGGCACGCCCGAAAGATGCGAGACGAGGGCTGCGATCTTGTGGATGTCGGCGGCGAGTCGTCGCGACCAGGCGCTGAGACGGTCACAGTCGAAGACGAGCTGGCTCGCGTCGTTCCTGTCTTCAACGGGCTACGGAACGAGGACATCCCTTTTTCATCCGACACGCGGAAGGCCGAAGTAGCCCGAGTGGCGCTACAAGCCGGAGCTACATGCATCAACGATGTTAGCTTTGGCCGATATTACGAGGAGAACGCCAATGCAGTAGACGAGACAGCAGAAGGGACGATGGGGATGAAGGAGAAGAATCCTATGTTTCAGCTTCTCTCCGAGGCAGTGCAGAATATTCGTTCTCTGCGTGGTTTAGACCACGATGAGTCTCCAGACGAGGCTTCAGAGTTTTTCTATATTGGCATGCATATGCGAGGTGACTTCAAATCTATGGACTTCCTGACGGATTACTCTACTCCGACCTCTGCTGGGTCCGGTTCTTTTACGTCTTCTGCTTCTTCACAATCACAGTATATCAACAAGGAGCACAAAGTTCGAGAAATCGAAAAGACGCAAATAAAAGAGGAGATGAAGAGGATGACGACAATTGTTGGGCACCTGAACTCCTACTTTGAAAAGCGTCTAAAGCAACTATGGCTGAACTATGGTGTACCATCTTGGCGCGTGGTCTGTGACCCAGGTTTGGGCTTCGCGAAAACGCCAGAACAAAGTCTTGACATTGTTAAGCACGCTCACCTTCTTCACCGGCCGCTTCAGTGCTATGGACACAGCAGGAAGCGTTTCGTGAGTTTTGCACAGGGTACTGGCGCCGTGTGGCTTGACAAGAAGAAGCAGCTCGGACACGAGCAGGTCTCTTCGTGCACGAGCTCGTCAAATGGCGATACAATGCTGCAAGAAAGAGAAAAACAACTAGCCAAAAAATTTGGACATGAAGGTGAACGTCGAACACGGGATTGTGGTACACTGCCAGGAAATCTTGGGTTATGCTGTGTTTTGTACCAAAAGCAACGCGCCAACATGATGCTGCGGGTACATGACGTTCTCGAGACGAAATACGCGCTGCAAGCATTCGCGACCGGCGTTTGATGGATAGAGGTCTAAGTGCACGCTATACCTACTTGCACAGACGTTGTTCTTGCTTATTCTAAGTAAAAACGTCACAACACCTACTTAGTAAGTTGTAGTTGCGTCCTCTTCATCAGGTGGAGGGAATCAACTCAAGCAGACCTCCTCCTCTGTTTTGACGTTCATTGTTCTCGACGACATCTGCTCTTGGATGGCGTGTTTTCCTGACGGCGAAAGTAAATTACACCCATCGCACGGAAATCGAGTGGAATTGCAACATGTGAGAGGCAGCGGGTAGTCCTCCAGGAAGAGAGTGCTTGATGCGGAAACGGATAGAATTCCAAATCGCAAGAAGACTGTTGTTGACTATACGGGCTTTAATCTTAGATTACTTTTTGCTGCTAGTGAGGCAGTTGTTGTGAGTGAAGATCTTCTGTTGCATTATACATCAACATCGTCAAGCGCGTTGGAGATCGAGATTCTGAGGTTGGATGTCGAGCAGTGGAAATTGACTTTCTCTTTCTTACGGATACGAGAAGGAGAAAGTTAATCAATCTTGCGTCATTCAATACAACGACGAGTAGAGTACTATGAGTCGTCTCTATGAAGACAGTAGAATAAAGTTGTCAGTAGTTGAGCTTCATAGGCAAACGCTGGAATTCGTGGCGGTGCCACGCCCTCGGTGGTTCCGCGTGAGCCGCTGATGTGTGGCCCAGGTATCAAAAACTCATTAAGAGTTGTAACGCCGCATGTGCACGACTGTAGTCATGATGGCTAGAACAAGTACGGCGGTTTGCCTGCTGCTTGCTGCAGGTGGTGCTTTCGCGCAGCCGCGTTTCGGTCTCGACCTCGGTGCTATCGATGCGAAAAGACCACCTGGTCAGCTCGCCTTATACTTCAACACGGAAACGCAGTTACTTACGGTGCGAGACAGCAGAACCATCGGAAAGATGGATGCGGAAGACTGGGCCACCGCAAACTTCGAGGATGGTCTTGAAAAAACGGGGTGGGCAGAACTGCGCGTGCGGACCTCACGCAGTGGCGCGATTCCTAGCGACCTGAAAATGTACTCCGCTGGCGTGCTCGAGGGTCTTCTCACCGCACCGCGGCTGTCGCAGTTCTACAGCAACGCACTGCGCACCATTGTTCGGAGCGATGCAATTCAAAAAGCTCTACGGAATGTGCGCAGCGTGCTGCGGGACGGAGAGCGCCTGGTGAGACAGAAAACGAACTTCTTGCCAGGACAAGATGCGCCGGAGCCTGCAGACCCGTACTGGAAGCATGTGCGGTACACTTAAGGCTCTCACCTCTCGGAGACTGAAACTCGTTGCTGTGCAGTATCTCTATCTCCACAACAATCTGATCAAGTAGTTGCACCCTAGTAGAAAAGACTTGAGAATGCTACGCTCTATTAACTCTTCTAAAGATCTTCCTCGATATCCACGTACGCTTGTTCTAATCCGCGTACGCCCAGCTTCACGGAGTACTCGATGGCTATAACGCGGCCGCGGGAGCTTTTGGCGTCAAGGCACTCACGATGCTTGATCTTTTCCTCCTGAACAGCAGCGGGGAACTAGGCGAGTTGCTAGAAGCATTTGCTCCGGAACGTGCCTTAAAGCGCCGCCACTTTCAAGCAGCCACGGCAACACTTTTCTTACAGCGCAACAAGAAGCACTACGATGAGCAGATGCATAATGACCATGACGAGACGTCTCCTACTAGTAGTAGTTTTCTCTTCGACGGAGATGACCATGAAGACCATGATGAGAAAGAAGGATTTTCTTCCAGTTTCATCGTGCAAGAAGAAGCGAACGCGAGGATAGCCGAAGCACGAAAGTCAAGGGCTGCTCATGGTGATCCAAGCTCTATCAAGGCTTCCGAGGAGGAGGACGAGTTTCAAGCGTCGTCTAGAACAAGTACTTCCAGTTCATCCAGTGCGGTGAAGGATGCAGCCGCAGACCGATTCTGGGAGAAGAAGCTCGCACGCACAGGGCACTGTTCGGCTCTGGTTCGTGTGACTCCCGACAATCGTGATTTACTTGTCGGGCACACCACTTGGGACGATTATGCGAAAATGACGCGTGTCGTGAAGTACTATGACTTTGCGCTTCCCTGGACACAGTCTGAGGTTGTAGGCATGAGTAGCTATCCGGGATGCGTTTCCAGTACAGACGAATTCTACTTGCTATCGAGAGGCATGGTTGTTGCCGATACCAGCCTAGAAATCCTGAACTCGGAGGTCTACAACCGCATTCCTGAAGGACCGAAGCTACCCAATTTCCTCCACGTAATGGCAGCCAACCGCATGGCGCGGACAGCGGCACACTGGGCAGCACTGCTCACAGAAAGAAACAATGGTACTAACTTGTTGGCTATTCTCTCTTAAAAAGATTCTGGGAAAGGGAGCATTTACAATCTAGGTCCAGCAGAGTAACAATAGATGGTTTCACCTTCCTCGTCAAACGAGAATCTCAACGTTTGCAGGTATGAAGAATGCCCAGTGGTTTGTGATCGATTACAACCGGTTCAAGAGTCGTGCTGACATCCGATCGGGCGTGCTGTGGATGGTTGAAACCATTCCTGGGTTGAGTTACAATTAAGGCTAAGATTAGGAATCATGAAGTTGTAAGTGTACTAAAGATGTTGCAGACTAGCACTTTCTGATGTCGAGCTTGGCTTGCGCTAATACACGCACGATCACACTGCGAGACTGCTGGAGACCGGGCACTACTCTGCCTCTTACAACCGTCCGGTGTCGCCTGAGATCCGGCAGCGTACTGGTCACACAGCCGCGGAAACAGCTTACGGACCGCTTTATTCGCTGGAGATGGCGCCTCGGGCCCAACTTTTCGCCGCCGTCGCCGGGCACGTGGAGACCCTTCGAGACTTGAGGTTGGCGATGCGTGAAAACAAGTATCCTGGCGAAAAATTTGTGGGTGAAGGAGCGGCAACGTGGGCTTTATCTCCTGGCCACGCGATCTCCGCACGTTTGGATCTGGATGTCGGTCTGCTGTCACCCAATGGCGGCATTGACGCAAAAGTGACAAGCAAGTGTTTGCTCGATCGCATGGAGATGCAGCTCATCTCTGGACCAACACACGTTTCGCAGCCGGTTTTCAAATAAGGCTCGATTACTATCTAAGAAGTAAAAAGTGTAGCTTGTAGCTCCTACGTATTTAGGTTAGCCGAGGAGCTCATGAGGGTGGAACATATTTTATTAGACATGGTTTTACAAGCGAATTTTTTTATCAAAGCCGTCGATTCGAAATCCACCAAATCTACTTTTGTATATCAGATGGCTTTTTTCTTTCCCTAATTGTCGTGGCAAGATGCTTCTGGTGCAGACCTCTTTCCCGGCTGGCCCCATCTTGGTCTACCGACCGCTTACGATTTCGACTGGCTCCAGGTCGGCCCGGCGGCCAGCAATGACGAACATACTCTGAAGGATTTCGATGAAGGCTGCTCGGCTCACGTTTAGCCTTGTTGAAAGTCGTTGTAAGAAGAAGTAATCAAGACAGAAAGAGAGGCAAAAATGGGAAGTAAAGAAGATAAGTTGTAGTAGAGACGTGTGATTTCTGATTTGATGCCGACGAATGTTTTAACTGCTTTGTACTTGTATTTGTATTTGTAATTGTTTTTTCCCTGCAACAAGAACTAAGGATGGAAATTAATGGATTATATCATGATCATTTACAGTACGGTTTTTTTCCATTATTACAACTTCACCAAGCTCACGTGAGCAACTATCATGTATGAAGCTACGACGCGTGTACCTACAACGATGTAGTGACGCCAACCCTGACGCTGACGGGCTCATGTTCTCCTGGAAGGAGCGTGCTGCATTCAGGAGTAGAATTACTTCGATCAAGTGTAAAATGGTAGTACTTCTCTAATAATAATCTGTTTGAGGATGTGCCCGGAGAAAGTAGGATCCTTCCTGTCGGCAAATTGAGTGTCAGTCTGCCTCGGTTGAGAACGTGCGTCGGTTCGAAAGGAATGAAAGCAATCTTTCATCGGTACAATAGGGCGAAGCACAACTGCTCGTCTGAATATTGCATTCATTCAATAGAAGATGACAAGAATAGCCACCCACTATTCCTTCGTATACTGCTAGAATTCGAATTCCCTGATAGCACAACAACTGCTTGGCCCATGACCCCTCCAACTAAATCACCTGAATGTTGCCAGGTAATCTTGTCGTTCCCAGCTATCTTTCACGGATTACTATTACAAGATCTAGATCGAGTTCGAGAGGGTTGTAGAAGATTATTATTTATCTACTTCATTTAACGGTAACAGCAATACCATTTTACCACTACATTCTTGAGTTGCAGCCATTCTAAGGGCTCATTTCTCGGCATTAACACATAACATATTTATTTATTATGTACTCTATGATCCAGATTCAAAAGCATCAACAAGTTAGTAACTACTGCACTAAGTTAAATAAATGAACCAATACCGCCTTCTCGAAGAAATAACGGCATGATTTTTATCCACGGTCGGAACTAGTGGCATGTCTGCTAGTGCGACCGAAAAAGATGTTTATCTTAGGGTAAAAAGTTGTAGTTGGGAATAGTTGTTCCCTCGACTACTGCTTACCACGAACAAAATGCCAGCATTTGATGCAGTCGTGGAACCTCCTCCCCAAGAACGGCATACTGTGCCGTCTGGGTGGCGGCCGAATGGTCTTCGACAAGCACAAGATGACCTCGCGAACGTGCTGAAGATTAGAAAATCGATCTGGAACCCGCTAAAAAAGCGTGCCCTGACCATCAGTGAGCTGCACCGAGCGAAAGCAGAACTTGACAAAAGTAGTAACTTTTTCGTCTTACATGAAGGTCGTGTTCCTCATCTTCAAGAAGAACAATGAGTACAAAAGCACGAGCACGACGTGGTGAGTTGAGTTAGTGGCTTGATTATATTAAGCAGCCATAAAAAATAGGAACATCCATCTGATGAGTTTTTAAGTAACCTCCTCCCATAGGAGGAAGTTGGTAATTCCCTTGTTTGTGTTAGAGGTGTGCTGCAAATCTTGGCTGGGTTCTTCCTTTTTATAAGGATGGGGATTAGGTCCAGCGAGGCTTAAAGCACTAAAGTAAAACAGCCGGTTGGTTTTCACCTCTATCCCTCGGCTTATCCCTTCAAACAGTGAATCAATTGACGAAGACGTTGCTACTTAGACTAGCTTCTACCTCTACTTCGATCATATACATAGCACTTGTTATCCACCCCTTCAATTGCAGGTGCACAGAGTGCAGCATCAACATATTCGGATGTGTTTTACACTGGTGGAAGATCCTTTGGCCAGAGGTCGAATACTAGGACTTCATCAATGTCAGAAATCGATCGTGGCCCGCATCCGCATGAGGGTAGCTCATCTTCCGAAGCGGAACAGAATCGTAACTACAATCATTAAGGCCCCTTTCGAGAGACCATAATCTTGTTCAGCCGCATCGATCCATCCTGGGAGGTGCCTATATAAACGTGGGCGTTGTAGTAAGTTGCAACACCATCATGTAGAATGATCTACTCGAACAAAAGATTGATGCGGATGAACAAGATGGAGCATAATTATTTTCGTCACAAGCTCTATCTAAAAGCATATCCAGGCCGGTATGAGTCAAACAATGCAGGGTGGTTTTCTCTTACAGAGACCGAATTCTCCATCTGTGGTGGGTGGTCAGTCTCCTCTTGGCGAGACCAACATGTCGTTGACCTGGGGCGCAACAACGACTTCGACAATGTCGGCAAAGGAGAAGAAGAAAAAATCCTTGATGGAACATATGAAAGAATTTGAGAAGACTATGGCGATTGAGGCTGCAAATCGTGGACGGGGAGCTGCGATTCGCACAGATAAAAAACTTCTGCGGAAATTCCTAGACTTCCTACAGCGCGGGAATCTGGTAACGGAAGCCTTAGAAGATGATCAAAAAAATCCGCCCTATGCAGACCCATGGAAGCTGCTCACACTTTACCAGCTCGCAACGCGCCACCTTAAAAAGATTCAAATTGCGGAATGGTTTCAGGTAGAGGGTGTCCCTGATGATGTGGGCATGACGTAGTTCTTGATGATTTTATTCCGATGATATTACAAGAAGACTTTGATTGATGATGAATCCACTTCTGAAAGACGAAGATACAAAACTAAGGTGAAGTACTAGATTGATCACGCTCCTGAAAGACGAAGCTACTGCACGAATGCGAATCTGATGTCTTCTTGTCTTTCAACATCTACATCATCCTCAACATTACAACCTGAACAATACTCCGCCCACAGCGCAAAGACATTGCTCAGTTTCTGGACTTTGATGTGGAAGAACGAGGAGTTTTGCGCAAGCTTTATCTGCAGTTATGCCAGGCCACAAAAGATGCACGCTTTGTGGCACAACTTATTCAGGGTAGACGGCGGACCGGGAAGCTAACGACGGGATTCAAGATTAAGGCCATTGAAATGCTCTTGAGCTTGTTTTTGTTTCGTTGCTTAGCTTGCATGCTGTAAATGCTGGATTGGATACAGCGAATGCTTGCTTTTATGAATGCAGGTGTCACTTGCATCCGTATCTCCACCGTCTTATTCCTTTCACTATCTGTCTCTGTGATGATCATGATAAGTATGTACATCATCTTCCTCTAGCTCTAAGAAAGGTTTGCAAAGCGACACGGAGTCGTCGTCTTCGCCTTCTAGTCGCGGTAGCAGTCGACCCACGTCCCCAAGGGCCGAAGGTGAATTGGACTCGATTGCGTCAGATGAGTTGCTGGAAATGGAGCCTGAGGATTTCGCTCCACCAGAAATCCGCACTCTAGATAAGGAGAATCGACCTGATGAAGCCGACCGCGTATTGAGGCACACCCGCAACTTGTTCAAATCGCGCATGGGAACCGAAGATTCGCCTGGGGGCATATTATCTCCATTCGGGTCCAACATTAAGGCTGCTCTTCATACTTTCTCTTTCTTGAGCTACTTGAGTGACTTGAGTGTAAGATGGTGCTGATATCTTGCACTTCCTTTCTTCTGTAGTAAGTGTTCTTTACTCATCTGCTATAGAACTTTGACTTACGACGGGTTCCGAACTACGTCTAATATCCTCAATTCTCTGGTGCATTTTGCCGACGCTGATGCGACCGACACGCTGTTGTATAACCCTGCCGTCGCGACGATAACAGAAACGGTCGAGAAGAGCCGCCGGCGGTTATATCAGTGCTTGACCCCGCGCACACGAAAGGAGGTTCGGGCCGAAGAAAAAAAGGATAATGTTGATGCCTCGACTCTGAAGTTATTCGCGGATTGTGCCCAAAAATGCTACCGGCTGAGTCAGCAAGGCGGTCGTTGTGTGTCGACCCTCCAGAACAGGCATTTGCTCGACGCGAATGGCGGTATTTACGTGACTGCAGACGCAGACGAGCTAGTAAAAGCGATGGAGGACGGCGAGATCTCAGCAACCGAGGCCGAACGCGTTCATTACGAAGCTCAGATGTTCGACCTTGTCACACGGAGTGCAGCAAAAAACGCAGTCAGACGACTCCCACGAAGTTATCCGAGACAGCAATTCGACGAACCTCAATTGCCTATCGAAGTTCTCGTGAATCTCTGCTTCAAGTACTATAAGTAGATATTTTTCCATTTTTTCCACTTATTGCTGCAGCTGTGAGATGCAGTTTTTATGTAAAAAGAAGTCAACGTGAAAAGGATCATCAGTGGTCATCTGCTTGTCCTCAGTCTTATTTCACTGTATAAGTACTATCAATTTCCACTACTTGCTACAAACAACTACTCCAGGTTTGGCCTTTGCGAAGAGCGGTTTGAAGCGCGGCGTTTTATCAACGAGTATCTGGAAAAGCATAATAGGTTTCTCGAGGTCTTTCCGGACATCAAGCGTACTGAGATTTCCGGCTTTGCGGAGTTCAAGGAGAGGATGGCGAATCTGTTGAAAGCGCGAAAGGCCCTCTCCTTCGAAGACTTTTTGAACGTTCTCTGCTGGAATTCCAAGACGAATCCGCGATTCGGAAACGACTTGCGAGGACTGCTCAAAGACCAATACGAAAGAAGGTACAGTAAGGAGAAGCTTGTTTGGTTTTTAGGATGCTGCACCCTTCTGCAAATAAGAGAGACACCGCGATGGAGGCTAGACGAGAAGAGACGACAAAATATTCATCACGAACAAGATCAACACTTTCATCTACGCACAAACCCATTTTACTCGCTATGATAACTTACATCATAATCTACGTATCACACCAGGCAAGGGCAGCTCGAGGTTCGTGGAGCACTGATAGGTGACCGGTACAAACTTTTTCGGGATGTCTTTGATACGGTGCCATCTGTGGCGAATACCGTTGAGAATATCAAGACTGAGCTGCTCATAGACACAATAATAAGTGACATGGAGCTGAAGCAGAGGAGGCGACCACAAACAAAGAAAATCGATAGTCGTAGTGGCACGCCAGGGACGCCAAATACGCTCGCTGCATTATGCTTGAGCTCATATTAGACGCATGTTGAAATTGAATGTTGATGTTGAAGACATACTGATTTTTATCTACGTGGGTGTTCTTTCTGCCTCTGATGCCTAAGCCTATTTATATTTATATGTACTACAACAACGGCCACGGACACGGAGGGACGAGGCCCCCGCTCCTCCCCTGTTATGTAAATTCTGGCTTTTCCCTGTCGCTTACTGCTGAGTCATTAGTTCTGACCACTTAATTTTACTTCTAGTACTCCTACTCCTTATTTTTCTCCTACCAGGAAGAGAAAAAGGAAGAAGTTTGCACCTCGTGCTCGTCCTCGGGATATCAATATCTGTTTCTAACGATTGGCAAGAGCAAGAAGTCGGCTGGTGGCGTTGTTGCGTGGAAGACACCGGGTAAAGACGGGGGCAAAGGAGGAAAAGGAAAGGGTAAAAACAAAAAAGATGGAAAGAGCGCGAAAAAGATGAAAGATGGAAATAAGAGTCCGAAAAAAGAGGCAGAGGAGCCTCCGAAACAGGTATTTCCCCTTTCTTGGTAGAAGTCAGTGTCGTAGTTGTTGCTTGTTCTTTTTCTATTTTGTTGGATTATGGCAGAATTGATATGTTACAGTATGCGACAAGATTGGTTTTATTTTCCTCTCGGTCTCGGCTTGCTTTTTCTATGAAATAATTTGTTTGATTTTATTTTTGTCGCTGTAGTTGGTGTTCTGCAGGGAAGAACGAATAACCTGAATTTGGGAATTAATGAGCGTCCTCGAAAGAATGATTTAGATTTATTTACAAAAATTCCGCTCCTCACTCGACCAGCAGGTAAAGACCATGCGGCCTCTTCAGCCGCAGGAGAATGTTGAGCAGAAGGTTTCGCTGAAAATCTTCGGGAAGTTGAAGAGCTGGGCGCACAAGAAGAACGTCGGTTCGAGTTGGGACGATGAGCCAGAGGTGGAAGAGGAAGAGCTCGAACCGTTCGAGGAAAGTCGTAAGAATGCTCGTTTTGCGTTGGGCCGAAAAATACGAGACAACATGGAGGAAATCTCGAACAACGCGGACGCACGCAAACTCTCTCTGAGACAGAGATGGCGCATGGAAATCCGGGACATGGATATCGTCACAATGAAGCGCGACAAGGGTGCAGATGCGCTGGAGTCTATAGATGATATTCGCCGCCACGTCCAACAAGGGCGCTTTTTCGTTGGTTAAATAAATATGTAGATAAGGATAGGCAATTCGGAATAGTAATATATTTGCATGTGCTTTACGTTCACATAGCCATAGTCTAAGATCATTCATATTTATAGTACTTAGGATAACACGACATATGTTTAAGTTTACGTTTCAGTCTATCAAACTACATACAAGGCAAGCAATTCAAATACTTAAGTTGATTTCTCGTCATAATGCACGACAATGAGCATGAGGTTCAATCAAGTGAAAGTACTGTCGTCACCATACATACATGCAATAGGTAGTTTTTTCGTTTTCGCATAGCAATGCTTACTACACATCATTGTACACTCATTGATTTATCTTTGGAATGCCTCCAGTTGTTGAACTGTCTTGTTGAGAGCAAAACAAATGTACTCTGTAGTCTGTACTAGATGATTTGAACAATGAATTATTTATTTCGGTAGAGCTACTTGTAGACGTGGATGAACCTCGATTTGCTTTCCAAGAAATTAAAGATCACAGAGATGCTAGTATCCTGTGTACGTCAGATAATGAAATTCATCGACATTCTACGTTGCAGGAGAGAGCATCTTTCAAATTTACCCTCTACATTCCGATCGTGTCCGTCTATAGAAAGGGACATGTCGGCTGTAGCATAGGCATGAATAGTTGTTTCCGACACATTATCTGGTGAAGATACATAAGTAGTACAATCATGACGCAGAAACAGAACAATCATAATGAAGAGGCGGATCAGACCACTCATTTCTCTCGAAAATACTCGCGAATGAAATTCATATTGTAAAGATGAACAAATTGTGAAGAAGTTGAAAAGTAGTAGACGAAACACTCCGCCCGGGCTCCGCCAAGGAGGACAACTGAATATACGTCGATCCGTGATGAAGATCTTCTACACGTTCAAATAACCAAAAAGAGTCGGTCGTTTCGATACAAGAATGAACTCGGAGCGGGAGCAGCTAGTGATAGACACTCATCATCATGTTACCACCAATGTCGGAGTCGGAGAATCTTGTAATGTCAATGCTTTATCATTATCTCTGAAAGATGTTTTCCTGCGATTGAGAGCACCTGAGAAGCAGAAGCTCCTGAGTGATGATGAGCAGTTTAACTAGAATTATACGTATCCTCCCGTGTCTAGGCGATTGTCGTTCAAGAATTTGAGCAAACGCAGTGATGCGCGTCGATGTTCTTCGAGACGTGAAATACGAGATTTCAATTTCATGAGTTTTGTTTTGTGCTTGAGCGACCGTCGACCCGTGACTACTTAAAAGAGTAGGCTTCCAACAGAAGCACGAAGTGAATATCAGTTTTCCAAGAAATATAAATATTTATAGTACATGAAAATAACGACTTTTCCCCCTTACGTCGACCCCAACAGATAGGACGACTCTGGTCCTACCATTTTTTCGAGTAAATTTGATGTGACGATCATCGCTACGTCGATTTTCGTTTTTGTATTACGCAGGAGTCATCCCTCCACAAATTTGCATTTGCCCGCTGTCGTCTCGTCTACTAAACTGTGTAAGTAAATCATTTAACCATGACTTGTTGGTGGATCAATAACAATATATTGGATGTCGTGGATAGGGGAGCCACAAGAAAGGTGCGTTGGCATTGCTATAGCTGGCACAACAAAATATGTCCACCATGACGATAACCCTACAGCGTGCCCTCGGAAGCAACATGCGTTCTGTCGCCGACGCAGCAGAATCAGACCGGCTCGGAAAGGGTCAGCGACTAAATAGAGAAAATGGCGCCCGATCAATAAATGCGGCATCCCAGGAGCTGCACAACAAATTACCACTCCAAAAGATGCGGGTGCTTGCAACAATTGCCCTGTGGACTGCGACAGCCCTCGTGCTGGGCCTGCTTGTCGGGGCACACGCAACGCAAGTAATGCACAAATTTGAATATCGTGAGCCCGACGGTCAGCAGCGGCTCGATGTGCCGGGATACACTAATCGCGTTTTATTTTCGTTCCAGCTGGAAGATCCGACAACTTCAGTAGCGGGAACAACACACGCAGTGGATAAACTGTACTACGGTTTTATTTACTCAGTCGTGCTGGTTCTGTCAGAATCTGCATCTTCAAGAAAAAATCGTCGTCAATACGAACTCGTGCTTCGAGTTTGTGTTAGTGCGTTTGTCATAGTGAATAATCTTGTATAACAATAACCTTAACCGCAACAAAATTCATCATGATCAAGATGAAGTAGAAGTACAAGTATTACTATTACAACAATTTATTTTCACAGAACGTTGCTTGCGCCACCGGGATTCATTTTCAACAAAACGTGCACGAGGGACTTCACGTTTCAGCACCACTTGATTTTCGACACGGGTATGGCGCCCGCACCTGTGACGAATTTTGCAGAGCTTATCCCATCGACTACCGGCAACACGTCTTGCGTCGGAAGCGTTGATCCCGACACGGGTCGCGGGCGACTCGAACTCGAACTCGTGACGACGTCACTAGTGGCGGAGAATATCTATCCCTTCGCAATACGGATGACAAACCCACTCGAGGATCCGCTTGTGAATGCGTCTGCAGTGGGCCAATCTCCCGAAGAAATCAATGCTTTCACGCTCCTGCTGAACGGGTGGAACGCAACACTACCCGCTTTTCCGCTGTCGCGATTCAAAGACGTCAAGGTGCGGCTTAGCCAGCGCAATCGATCCCCGACTTGCCTCAACCCAACCGTCGCGTGTCCGGTCCACAACATCAACTCGGTAATAAGATTCGATGTGATGTTGATAATCATAATTTGGTCATGATTCTCATTCTGATTCTCTATGAATTGCAACCTTCCATACATCAGTATCGCATCGCGATCGACTGCTTGTACAGTGGCTGCGTCGAGGAGTCACAAGTAGCGTTACAATTCAAGGCGTTTAAGGCGGTCGGGGTCGGTGGGCGCCTAGAAGTCCATTTGCCGCTGTATTACGCGATGTCGCCGCATACCAGTTGCGAGGCGTGGCGTCGGCCGCTCGCATCCGTGGTGTGGACACCCTGGCTACCGCGGGACATGCGCTGTCGTGTGGCAGCCGATTTACAGTCCATCACGATGGATTTCGTGGACAAAACGCAGTTGTACTTGCAGCCCGATTTCTACGAGTATCGGGTGGAGTTCACAGTGCTGCTGCCGAACGGACTTGCGCACTTGGAACAGGACGTTTCAAAGTACTTTTTCTGGATTTTCGGCTATGATCCAGGAGAGGCTTTTGAGCTCAATAAGGTGGACCCTGCAACATTCGGCGTCGTTGAAGTTGAGCGGTCCGCACTGGGGATGGCTTTGCAGGGAAGTTCGGCAGAGGAAGTACTTGCGCAAAGTCTAGGATCGGTGACAACCACGACAACGCTGGCAGTCCAGTCGCAGGCATTTCTGTACTCGGGAGGGTCTGCTTTCAAGACGTTGAGCAACTCGTTGTATTCGCGCCGCCCACTACCCGCAGATCCCTATCCCAGCCAAGCTGTGCGCATTCAGTCCCTAACGTTGCACTCTTCGTCCGACCTGTTTGAGGTTGCAGCGCGCTCGCCCTTCGAGCGTCAGAGTCGCGCTATTTTGGGAGGCGAGATTATCGAGCTTTACTTCTACATTCGCTTTCGCTTCCAGGTGTACCCAGGTACGCGCGTTCACCTCACGGGACCGCTTGGCTACGATTTCTCCACTTTCTGTACTACAGTAGTGGAAATGGAGTTGATCCTGAATTTGCTGCAAGTGAAAACGGTTACGCCGGGGCAGCTGGACGGATGGGAGTGCGCGAGTAGCGCCACGGAAATGGTGCTGACTCGCATTGGTTACGTTGAGTACATGGGTCAGACGCCGCTCTCTCTCAGAGTGATGGCTCGCAATCCAATGACCGTAGAGGCCTGGAACAAGCTCGATAACTTCTGGGAGATCATGGTTCTTGGTACCAGTGAAACTAGGGCATTCATCATTATGATTATATCAAATACTAGCATGCGCTATGTATACACATCAAACGTCATTATTTACTTACCTACCTATTTGAAGCCTTATTTTTTGATGAATAATTTTTCTTGTTGAAATGTCCATCGCCTCGGTGAAGTTATTTTTTGGTTGTATTTTCATCTGCTATATATTGCAGCCGCACGACTTTGTTTCTTTCACATTTACAGGCACTTCGACGACCACAACAACCACTGCTGCCCCGCGAGATTGTCGCGGAGTGTGGTCGGCTTACGATGCGTGCAATCCGTTGACAGGTTACCAGCAGCGAAATTACACCATAGTCGAACCAGCTGAGGATGGCGGCCTTGACTGCCCGCGGGCGCACGGAGAGATTGACACTCTACCCTGTGCTTCTAGAAGCGATGCCAATTGTACCGCCGCATTCGGGCCCTTCGATACGTGCCAGAACGGACGGAAAACTAGCCGCTACGGCGTTGTCTACGACGCTGGATTGAACAACTCCAATGTCGTGAACGGATGCCCGCATCCCGACGACACCCCAGTCACGCACAGCTGTGGTCAGAATTGCGTGGCCGGGTGGACGGCGTTCGGCAGCTGCACCCAGAACCAGAACGCACTCTGTTTCTTCGGGTACTTGCTCGACCTTGCCACAGCTACCGTGCCGCAGGACTATGCGGTGATTGACGCAGGATATTACCACGATTTACTCTACGGTGAACGCAACTACCCGGAAACCTTTTTCCGCAGGACGGATCTCACGTCAGACGAGGGTAACATGACCGGCCAGGTTGGCTACAGCCTAAACTCGTGTCCCGCAACAAGCACAGCTGCGAAATCACTTGTCAATGCTGGACAGACGGGCGCTATTGGAAACATTACACTCGCGGCGGAAGAGTACAGGTAAAAACGAGGCTTCTTGTTCTTGTACAGGTTTGGTAAATAAAAGATTGTTTTACTTTTACGACTTTGAAGAAGAAGTAAGACGTGGTTTGTTTTTGTATCATGTGTATGATCAGGCTGCGTCTGTATCCGTATTAAGCACAAAAACAGTTTCTGGGACCACCACTACAAAACGTCTACGTATTTCATGATGTAGAAGTTGGAGAAAATAAACTCTGACTATGTTGCTACAACGGAATGGTACAAATAAGGTATTTTCGCGTGAAGACGCTGCCCGGTATCGGAGGTAAAGCGTGCCCATTTGCAACGGATCAGATCCAAACTCGACCGTGTGCTGTGTACTACTCGTCACCGTCGTCCACGACTACCTCCACCACGACAACGATGTGTCCGTGTTCGGATTGGGTCTGCGGAAATGCCACTGCGCTGGTTTGCACTGAGCAGTTCGAGACATACACGAATCACTGTGTCGCTCTTCGTGCGGGAAAGTCGCTGATCTATCCAGGCGCGTGCGGTCTCAGAGGGAACGAGATTCTGGAAGCGAAGTCGTATCTTTCGTACAAGATTGTGCCGCAGTTTCAGAACCCGGTGGTGCGGTTGACGGGGCTGAAGCGCGGAGCGGGTGTGAAAACGAAACTCGAATTTGAGTTCTATGCGCTGTCGTCGGCCAACACGCTCTACCTGTTTTCGGAGCCACGATTGGACTTGGACCAAATCTCGTTTGCGGAAGTCGAAACCGTGGACCCGAAGACGGGCCAACGGCGGCTCGAAGTACGGCAGCCCTTCGGATACGACCCAGAGCTCACGCACCCGCTGAATCCGCTGGTGGTCGGCATCATGAGCGTGAACGCGATCACGATCCCAGGAAACTATTCGCAGACCTTTTTCCGCTTGGTCGACCTCATTTTTCCAGTCGGCACGCAGCAGGTACGGTATACGATTCGCAGTTTCACGGACAAAACGCTCCGCGACGAGATGTTTTTTGAGGGTTTCGAGTTGCCGGGTGGCATCACCCTGCATGATATCAATGTGCGAGGGAGTTGGTTCCAAAAGGCCCCGGCAGCGCAGAAGAGTCAGTACATGCTCCCACGAGCCAACGTCCATCCAGGTCGCATCAAGGTCACCTTCTCTGTGGCGAATGGGCTCACACGTTTCCTCGAGATCCGCTCAGGAACGAGTTTGCAGTTTTCGCCCGTTGATGTATGTCTTTACGAACAAGCTACTGGCGTCCTTCTGCCGCTGCGCGCGGTAAAGGTTTACCAATCCCCTAAAATAGACGGGACTCCAGGTATGGATGATATTTTGCATCTGGAGTTGGGCACACGTGGGGACGAGAGTGAACATGAGAATGCGGTCTTCGGGACAACGGGCTCGCTCATCTTTGATAGCTCCCTCGAGGGTGACGTGGCACTCGCAATGAAACAAGCCACAGGAACGAACGCCAATGGAGCTCTCGTTCTTAGCGCCGGCGGCGTTGCGTCGGCGTCTTCTACAGACTCTTCTTCGGACACGAATACGCTGAGCGGTAGCGAAACAGCTGAGAGCTCAGCGGACGCAGCCTTATCATCGCTGACGAGCAGCACGAGCACGTCAACGATTTTTCCACCTGTAACGCCTGTACTTTCGCTAAACCAGTCGTTGGAGCTGAGCCGAAACCGTATGGCTTTCCCCATCTTGCGGGGTGACCCGAGCCAGGCCTTCACGGAGATTCGCATTCCCATTTCGGAGGCGTTACCGGATGCTATCCCATTGCCAGAGACTGTGAAGCCAGTGATCGTTGATCGACGAGAACTTGATGAGGCAGGTACAAATGCTGCTAGCAGCTCTAGCAAAAAGAACGTGGTAGAAGAAGACACACTGTCACTGGCTGCAATTACCGAGGGGGGTCGGAGGCTGCATTCGCACACGCCAGCTGGATTGCGGCGAATCGTGATGAAGATGGAATTTGACATGATTTTTCAGGAGTACACAGAGGTGTACACAAACTGGCTTCGCCCGTCGACGCTTGTGATGGATACGACGGCACCGCCGACAGATGCCGGATCCTCTGGAGGGGCGGCAGTGGCCACTTCCACCACGACAACTACAACGACGACCACTACGTTTGTAGCGGGGACTATTTCGCGTGTAGCCTACGGATACGACGCGTTCAACACGGTGGTGCAGGATGCTATCGCGCGTACCCTCTTCTGCGACAACGGCGATTACCACTTGTTTGGCAGCTACACGAAGTACTGGGATACCGCGGATCTGGCTCCACAGTGCGCGAACAAACCGCAGTTTGTTTGGCAACAGCCGCGCATCCAGGTGTTGGACATGCGTCCTGGCTTCTACGACGATTTTGGACATCCGTTAGCCGTAACCTACGATTTTCTCGAGAATGTGCGTGCGGGTGGGCAGTGGGAGCCGGATCTTCTTGGCGGGGACACGGGGAATCCTTGGAAGCCCGGACTGCAAGGGCCCGAAGAATGCAAAGGCAAATGTAGTGAGTTTCGCAATTGCACACTTTTTCAGTACTCCAAAGTAGACAAAACTTGTCACTGGCGCTTCACCGATTCTCCTTGGGAACCCACGCCGCGCTTCAGCAACGACATCAACAGCTTCGCACAACGCGGAATCACCGTCTTTCTCGAGATCAAGAAAAATGTTTCTTCGCAGGAACAATCAGCTCCGGCCTTGTTTGCGGCACTGCGGGAACGCCTCATAAATCCGCGCTCAAATTTTCTGCACGATCCAGATTTTTACCCGTTTACGCAGCGAGTCACAGGGCTGCACTCTGTGGCCGATGACGGCACTATCGTGACGCCAGAGGTGGACACAACGACCACCACAACCACCACACCGGTGATCATCTCGACTACAACCACCACAACTACCTGTCCGTTTGCCGACCCTAATGACACAAACAGTTCGCGCATCTGCCCGATGGACGAAATGGGCATGCTGAATAGTACGGTGGACGATGGAACAAGTTTTCAGGAGTTAGCGAACTTTACCATGCCATGGTGGGTGAACAAAACGGCCCACTACCTTGTGTATCGCCAAGACCGTGTGTGTCCGAGCAGGGTAGAAAGATGGGGTGGCGGAAACTACAGTTTCTACAGCGATTTGAGCAGTTACGGCAATTCATTGCATATTCGCACGCCCCAAGGCATCCTCGACCACAAGTGGGTAAACATGACCTACAAGGAAGCCGGACCTTTCACGTTGGAACCTCGCACCCAGTATGTCGCAGACTTTTTCGTCCGCACGCCCTCGACCACAGAGCCGACCGAGCCGCAAGCGCAATCCACTTGGGCTTTGGATACCTGGATCGATCCATCATTCTCGCCTACCGATCCTCAAAACACGGCGACCGGCGCTTTGCCGATCAACACCAACGATTTCTTGGACGTTGGACCTGGCGCGTTGGGCGATTTGGACGGACCGGGCGAGCTCTCTAAGGCCGTGACGTCGCACAACCCTGCAAGCGCGCTGCTGACCATTGACTTGACGCTTCGCACTAGCAAGGGCGGGAAGAAGTTCATTCTTTATGCTGCGGAAAACTTCACGTTTTCGCAAGTGCAACCAGCGCTCTGGACGATACCGCAGTTCGACGAAGAGACGGGCGAAGAACTGCCACGGCAGTCTTTGCTGACCAAATACCTAGGTTTCGCGCGGATGAGCTGGGTCTATGTGCGCCAGAACGCCGCGATCCGCGCCACCGATGAAGTGACCTACTACAACAATTTCGAGGTTGACACGCGGCTCCAGCAGCGCGACATGCGCTTTCGAGAGCGCGACACAATCGAGATAAAATGTCCGCCGATCACGCTGCAACCCGAACCCGGGATATTTACGACGACGGACGACTGCAAGGAGAGCGACCCCATGCCAATACGCGTCAACATTACGAGTCCGCGGACGCTTACTGCAGTCTCAACGTTCTTCTTCGAAAGCTACGACGAAAACGACGTTTTGCTAGGATACGGCGAAGTCGAAGGTACTTGCAAAACAAGTAGCTGTATGAATCTAGTTGATGAGTAGGTTCCGTTTCATCCTACAACGTGACTTCTTAGTTGTAAGCGACAAGTAGCACTAGCACCAGGCGCAAGCTCAGGGATACATCTAGACCATGGCATCTGCGTTGTCTTGTTGTTCCATAGGTGACACTTGAGACTGGCTTCGATGTAATTTCCAAATCGATCCATGTGATGATCATGCAGGTTTCCGATTGTCCTCGCTTCAAGCGCAGGTGACATGGTCAAAGATGGCACAGGTGTATCAGACAGTCGTCGGCCTGACAGTGACGACGCGTGTGGTTGTCCCGATGCTGACGAAGCTGCGACTGAAGGCTCCACATGGAATTTACCTTTCGTGTTACAACCTCGATACCTTCTGGAGGCCGATCCGCAAGTGCCAGAGTGCGGATGCCTGGCGGCACTTCTACGTGATCCTGAATCAGACTATTCCAGCTGGGGAGAAGATTCAGCTGGCGTCGGCCATTATGGGCCTCTCCCCGATCCACTTTGACATGACGGATCGCACTTTTGACCTATACCTGGAAGAGCAGCTGCTTGGGGCCAACATCGACGTGAAGCATGACTTCTACGAGACAGACGGGTTCCAGGTCGTCGAGAGTCTGTACGTGGAGCGGCCGTTTCCACCGGGGCTGCACGCGCATGGCAACGAGATGACGTTGTACCTCAACTTTGCGCGACAGTTAGGACCGTCCCTGGTGAACATAACGATGACTTTCCCGCCCTTCATGTTTCCTCCACCGTTGGGCGCAGCCGAGGAGGCAGAGTATCTGCTTCTGAACGGCGACCAAGCAGAGGGCGCTAGCACGACTACGACAACTACCACGAAGCAAGCAACTAGTGGCGAAGGGACGAGTAGCACGAATGCCACGGCCTCAGGGTTGAATAACGGCACCGGCACAAGCTCCCTAACAACAGAGGCCCCTGGCACGACAGCGGAACCAGCATCTGGCGCGGCTTTGACTGGAGAAGGTTCAAGCGGAGCAGCAGCGGCAGGAGAAACAGAGAGCAGCGGCAGCGAAGCAAACACAGGAGAAGGAACAGGCGAAGTAGGCGGAAATGGCGTCACTTCTGCGGAATCCACCACTGCTACTTCGACAACGACCTTCAATGTTTACAACTACGACGCCGCAAATCCTATTGTGTTCTACGAAAACGAGCCGCTTCCCGTCAAGTCTGTACACACGATGAATACAGCTACCGAAAAGACTGTGACGTTGATAGTGAACGACATTGTACCGCAGGGACGATATGGCATTAGGGTTACCCTACGAGGAAACTACTTCGAAAGGGCCAAAAACCCGGGGTTTAACCGACTGGATAAGGCCATTTATCTGCGCATGCACTTCAACAACTCGGAATTCACAACGTTTTTCTATGGGGGTGCAGAAAAATTAGAGGATTTCGAACTGGATCCGCAATACTACACCCTGAAAGACCCCCGCCCCTCGTTTAGTAGCGGATGGCGCCGGCGGCATTGCTCCTTTCTCGGATTGTTACTCATCGTTGGGGCTTACGCCATCATGTCGGGTTTTGCCGAGCATTTCATTTCAGCTTCTCGTCGCGGAAGCTACAGCCAGCCTTTAAGAAGAGGTACGGCAATCAACGCGATCACAAAGACCACATCATCATCAATAGCACGAAGCTTTTCTGAACTATTTTTCGCAGGGTTGAAACTCGGTTCTCGGGCTCCTCTCTTGGCGTCGCGTACTGGCGTCGAAACTTCTACAACGGATCATAGTAGCTCAAGTAAAAACGTCGGGATGGAGCAGACACCGGCAACGAGCACTAATGGGTGCAAAAGTGAAGATCAGGATCAACATCAACACACTGATCACGATACGAAGGAAAACCAGCAGGTTGTCGAAGAACAAGATGGAGCGGTAAAAGAGCCACTACAAACTGCGTTTTCCGGCGAGAACATGGATCCGTTAGTTGCCCGGAGCTCTTCATCTTCAACATCTTCATCTACATCCTCAGCACCACTGCAGACGTATTCGCAAATCTCCGCCCTTCCAGATCTCGCGCATGCACTCTTCACGCGATGGCGGCAGGAGGACAGGCAAAGTGCTGCCACGAAGATAAAGAAGCTCGCAACTCTTCTAGAACTACTTGCTACTTCAGCACTCCTGGAGAGAAGAGCAATCAAGAGGAGAGGGCTGAGTTGTAGATACAGCATTGCCGAGACGAGCAGGAGCAGAGGAAGGATACGTTCATTAGTCACGAACCTGCCACTGCCAGTGCCAGCACTCGCCAGTAGTGAAAGAGGGATCGGACTTTTAGACGGCCTTTTTTTCATTTTCGGCATAGGTTTTTCAAGGGAAAACGATCACGATCACCATCACGTGGAGCAAAACTATATTAATCTTCGGAGCTGCTGTCCATGTCCAATATTGCAAGAAATGGCGGGTTCTTTGCCAGGACTTCATTTATGCCGACTGTGGATGGATAAGGGATGAATCTCATTGCATTACTTCATCCCGCCTCTCTTTCAGATAGAAGATTGCTTGTGTGTTTGTACCCAGCCACTTCTGTTCTTAAATAATATTCCCATTCCCTCTCCGTCTCCCTGAGGAGCCTTACCCTTTCATCTCCCATTCCATTCTTCATGCATGCTGGCTCCTCGCCTTACGATTGACTTTCTTGATGTTGCAACATCGACATCCCCTTCCCATTGTGCGCGGGCGTATCCCGACCTCCCAGATAATTCTACTGGTGTGCTTTATGATTTTGAGCAAGGCAGTGGTCGCAACTACTAATGCCTTTAATACGCGAGATTGGTGGGCGGGATTGGAAGAACCGTAGAAGTTGTTCTCGAATGTCTCATCTTCAATATGGGACCCAGCAGCTTTCTGATCTTCTCAAGGCAGATGACTTGTTTAACAATAGAAAAAGCATCCAAGAAGAACAAGTTGTAACACATTAAGAACAGGAGCGTGCATTCAGTCTCAGGTGGATCACTCGTATAGAGATTCTACTCGAAGCTGAAAAAAGTAGAGCAGGGTGACTATTTCCACCGAGAGTTTGATCGAGTTGGACGAAGCGAAACACGGCTTGATGTTGTAACTGATACGAAGGAGAGCACATGCATAGTTAACATTCACTTCTTGTTTCACAGCAGGAGCCACTGCCTCACTCTCATGCTCGCGGTGATTTTAGTACCCCGCATTTTTTCATCATGACATTGGTACAACTTCAACTTCTACTCCCTCATTCTTGCCAGGCCTTCTAGGTGTAGCTCTACTGGTGCTGTTGCCTTTTGATATGTTGTGGCAGCATACTTCTGTTTCGTTTTTTCCTGTCGTAATATCTTGGAGAAATAGGAACGAAAATGAACATTCCACTCGCAACAAGTGATCCCCACGTGCCGGTCTATTGCGGGTCCGATCTGCTTCGCCGTTTCATATCTTGGTGGGCCATCCTTGTGTTTCATCCGCTCTACTGGGTCATTTACGCTATCGCTTTCACGCAGTATCTCTTGTTCTTTTCTCCTACGTGGTACGCGCGTGCCGGAACTCTGATATATCTTGGGTACATATTTTTTGATCGCCGGCGCGCAGATGGAAAGGGTTTCCCTGACTGGATCTCGCGCCACACAATACTGCGGAACAAGCGCAGTTTCGTGTGGCGGATCTGTTGCAGCTACTACCCGTTTAAACTCTGCAAGACGGCAGAAATAGATTTATGTGTCATCGAAATCGAAGTAAACAGGTCTTTGATCGGAAGTGGAAGAATAAACACGTCCAATAGCCGCGTCGGCTTTTGAATCCAAGCCAAGCCAAGCCAATCTTCGTTCCCCGAATCCAAGCCACGTAAATAAATGTTTGGTGGACTTGTAGACAAGTAGGCAACAAAAATATTAAAAAAACTGCTAATCTGCCATTCTGTTGACAGAAGACGTAGGATATAGGCGCAGCTTTAGAAAATATTTAGTAGACGACGTAAGTACTCAAATCATTAGTTTCAGTGCGCGTGCAGCCTGTCGTTCTCGCGGTGGCCTTCTGCTCATCTAAATAAAGGAGGTGCAAGGCTTCTCTTCGTAACGCATCCGCATGGAATCTTTGGCGTCGCCACACAAGGTCACCTCGGAACTTTCGGAAGTGGTTTCGATCGTTTGTATGGCGAGCAACTCGGTGGACGTCTACGGCTGATCGCACTGGAGGCATTGTTGTTGATTCCGTTTTTTAGGGAAGTGATGTTTGCATGCGGCGTTCACAGTGCTAGTCGGCAAAGTTTTGCAGCTATATTCGCGCAGGGCAACATCCCTGTACTCAATGTTGGCGGAGCAGCTGAGAGCCTCATATATCAAAAAAGCGATGAGGTGGTCGAGAAAGACGATTATAGCAAAAGCAAGAACAAAGTAGCAGGAGATGAAGCTGAAGCTTATTCTCCTGTCGAAGTCATGAAGCTGGTTGTGAAGAACAGAAAGGGTTTCATCAAAGTAGCTATGCAGGAAGGGGCAGCTCTGGTCCCCTGTATTGCATTCGATGAAAACAAAGCGTATGCAGTGTATGCGCCGGCATCTGGTGGAATGATCGAACGAATCCAACGAACCTTCAAAAAGAAAATGAAATTTACGTTTCCTCTCTTCTATGGGAATATCGGACCATTTCACCCGTTGCGCCAAAAGCAGAGCCTCTACGTTGGCGCTGTGTTGCCAGTGACACCTCCAGTTGTTGGACAAGAACGACCCAGTGCTAGTGGTGGAGATGAAGCACGACCTTCATCAGCAGGGCCGCAAAGATGGACGAAAATTGCGAATCCAACACAGGCTGAAATCGATGCGAAGCATGCTGAGTATCTTGCAGCTCTGCAAAAACTCTTCGACGACTACAAGGACCATGCAGGACACCCTAACATGGTCTTGCAAATAACGGATGAGTACGGAAAAGGATAACTACTAAGTCCAGTTGTGGAGGACCAAAGGCCATAAGTAAGAAACGCATTTTCTAGTTCTTCGTCTCAAACTTCTACTTCTTGAACAGGATATTATTCAATTAAGTATCTTGAACTCCGCGGGAACCAACGTTCTTTGCGTGGAAATATGGTGATCATTCAGTACAACTAAACACGACAAGACTGAGTCAATTGTTGGTGTAAATCTTGATGCCATTCTTCGTTCCTTCTGCTGTGCGCGACAACATGAAAAACTCACAAGATGTGTTGTGAAGATTTCCAACAATATGTTGCAGTTTTTACCATGCATGATGGACGGGTGAGCCCGTGTACGGTCTTCCGCAAGATGATGGTGCCATAGACTAAAAAGTACCTGTCGTTGTCACTTCACTCCTGAATCATGCCGGAGGCTGTAAGTCTAACAATAAACAGAAAGTGATAAAAGATAGGAGGTGTTCGACGCTGATCCTTGCCTCGGCCGATTGTCTTGAGAGGTTCTTGATGTTGTTCCCTGAATTTCATCCGTGCAGGCTTCTTCGACAGTTTATTTTGAATCAACAATAGTACATAGAGATAGAACTAGAAGTAGTAGCAGACCTTTCCAAATAAGCGAGGATTGATGATCTATCCTATTCCTGTACTTCCTGAAAGAATGAAAATAGAAACAAGATGATGAACCGAGCGTCGATGTTGTTTGAGGCTGCAGCCTGCCTCTCCGTCGCTGTCTTCCTTAGCTTCGGCTATCTAGAGGTGAAAGCAGTAAAGGTCATTGCAGTTTCGCGCCTTGCACTTGACGAGTGTGCGATCACTGCCGGAAATGAGCAGCAGGAAGCAACACTAGGTGACATATCTTCGTCAACATCACGCACCGCGAGAGGGAGTGCGACGGAGGTCGAGATGGCACAGGCCCATATAAAATTTCAGGAGTTTGAAAGACTATTCGGAGAATACTTCGCTGAAGAATCTGGGATATTTTCGAAGCTGCTCAACCAAGAAGTCGTTGACCTTAGTGATGGAAACGAAAATGCGTGTGCCGAGAAAGGAACACGCAACAAGAAGGCGCTTCTCCGTAGTCGAGTCGAGTCGCTGCAAAAGAAGATGAGGGCTTGGCTGATGCTGGATCCATCGAATCTTGCAAGTACACAGAAGCGCTTTCTTGAGTTTCTCGAGGACTACGCGCAGATTGTCAGCGAAGTGGACTCATTAAGAGATGAGCTTAATAAAGAAGAAGACGCCGCCGGTGCAGCTGATGGCGGTCTTCATAAGCATATGCTTAGCCGGGAGGAAGATGAGGAAGCGGCGATCACAGTCCACGGGAATCTCCGACAGGACGAGAAGAAACCCTTTACTCCTGGTCATAGTCTGGCGAAAAGTATTTCTTGGGCGGGCAAAATCGGAAAGCAACTACGAAATGTAGGCACGCCTACTGCAAGCAAGAGAGATTCCGGGTCTCGCAGTGACGGTGACAACATTCTTGACCGGGAGATTCACGACGGCTTTGAGTCGGAAATGTCCAGTAACATATAAAAATAACAGGAGGCGATGAATATGATAGATAGGTTTTGAGGACTCGAGCTTCATCAGATAGTACAGATGTTGAAGAATTTTCCTACAAGTTTGAGGACGCATCAGGGAGCGCATTTGTTTTCTTCGCTCTTTGATCTTGTTCGTGACTTTGGTGTGGTTGTGATATGTGGATGCTGATATCATGTTGGCGACGTTGATTTTGACCTTTATATTCCAGGACTCAAGGTTGCCAGTAGAGGGAATTTTTAGAAGGTTATAACGACCTTCATCATGGAGGATAGAGCGGGAGCAAGTCCTCACAAGTCAACGGGTTACTACAAGTATCTCTCAGGAGAACTTACGATCATGTACTTATTCATTGTCGCTTGTCTGCGAAAAGCTGAGCTCTTAGTACGTGCTTCAGAACCGCTTTGTAGTAGGAAAGCAAAATGGCCCCATGCCACCTGAGTCTGCGTCGTGAATGCGCTCGTAGGACTGATGAGATCTTCATGTGTTATTGTGTTCTATTGATCCCCGGTGTAAAGACTGATGCTGGACGGCAACGTGGATTCACCAATGCAGCTACGCGGGCGGCCTTGTCAGATCATCATGTTAGTACGCGATCATCGTTTTTCAGATGAACATGATCTTAGCGTTCGTTGTGGCAGCGAAATATTTCAGGCTCTCTCGTCTGTGCTTCACAGAATGTTCATTTTTCTAATCAGCGGCCGCGAATTTCATTTCAAATTGTCGAGATGAAAGCGAACGCTCCAAAATAACTATGTGCTTACATACTTCTTATAACCTCTTCCCTTCCGGCGCTTCCGCTTCCCGCATTGCCATCGCGCCAAGCGCTGTCCCTCAAGACATGATATTACCATTAAAGAAGCAACGTATTAGTTTGCGCAAGCATCACTCTTCCTTCGTTGTAGTTTCGTTTCAGATGACAGTGATAGATATACTCATATTAGATGGGCATCGGTCTTGATGATTGATGAATAAATATCACGACAACTTACTTTGATGAGCTACAACGCGGAGCAGGAAGATCTACTTGATGTACTTGTTACGTTTATTTCAGTACTGCGAGCACAGCAAGAATCATAGATACTCACTCAACTAGACATAGTTCTTGCTCTTGGTTTTTACTTTCATTCTCATTCATCCAGAGGTTACTACTGCTACCAGAATCACTGCTACCAGAATCAGAACAACTACAAAGATTCTCATTCATACAGAAGTTACCACAGCTACCAGAACAACTACTACTACAACTACAAAAGCACAACTTGTAACATCAAGAGCTAGTGGTAGTGGTAACGGCGGAGGATTATCACGAAACACGATGCTGCGTGTAAAGATAACGCCGAATTTTCGGCACGAGTATATCTTTGACCTTCCAGTGTATTTTGGAGACGAGGTCTTGGATTTGAAGTTTCCAGACCGTGAAATCCGCAAAGTCAAGGAGTTTCTGCTCCACGTTGTCTCCCCCAAACTGGAGACCCCGATTTGCTGTTTGCAATTGGTGCCCATCGTGAATGTTGGAAGTGGAACTACAAGCACAACTGCGGCTATTAAGACTGAATAGACTTGGAGGCTGTTCTTGCTCAAGATGAACAAGTCGCGTTCTCCTGCATTTGTCTATCTAAGCAATGAGCACCTCATGAAGAGTTTCATTACTTCGTTCTCCAGACGCAGTGACGATGGTCCTTGCTTAGAGGTAGAAGCTACATTAGTGAGCAAGAACTCTGACGCCTCTAATTCTGGAGGAAGATCATCTGGCGCGCGCGCGTGTGTGGGCGGAAGCAGCCTTTTGCCTAGTGCCTCGGGGGGAGCTGCCGCTACAACGACAATTGGCGGACAGCGATTCGGTCTCTTTGGGTCTTCGACGCGGACTCCGATACATCTTGTTCAACATCATGCTAATGGAAAGCACAGCCAGCAACATCAACTTCCATCTGCAGGCGCAGCTGCTGGGATTCGAAGGCGACCACGCGCATTTCCTGGCGATCGGAGACTAGATGAGATCGGTCGCGAGGCCGACGCAGTTGAGGTGGTTCGTGAGGATCGAGAATTCACGGTGGAGTTTCTGTCACGCATGCGCTTGCATCGGAGATATGGCGGTGTTCCGATCTTCACGAGAGACAACAAGGTGACCACTTCGACCTGGGCAAGTGTTTTTTCGACACTTCTGTGTTGGGGCGACGGTGGATTGACGACTGCTGCAACAACAAGTGGAGGTGCAAGTAATACGGGTGGTGGAGTACAATCATCTTCAGGCACCGCAGGAGGATGCGTGATGGGATGTCCAGCAGACTATGCTGGCACTGGCGGTCACGGAGGAAGCAGTACTGCAGTTGCAGGGAATCTGACGAATGGCAAGATTGACAAGGCGTCAATTTTCACGTTCTTCGATGAAAGTGCGGAGTGGCGGCAACGGGTCCTGTTCTTGCTCATGCATTTCTCGGTGGAGACCGTCAGACAACGCGATGCGGATGGTTTCAACCTCTTGCAGTTTTTTCTCAATCGACTTCCAGGACGCACAAGTCTTGCTTGCGTAGAAGCTTTTTATGACGCGAAAATCTGTTATCATTCTCAAAACCCGAATTCAAAAATTTTGAAAGTGAGGGGCGATCGGATACGCCGAGCCCTATGACCGCCTTCCAGTGGCCTTCCTCGACCTCGACTCCGTGAACGAGTCGCCGCTCCAACCTGAGAGGCCCGAGCCTCAAGCCTGAACAGAGAGAGAGGCCACGGCAACCTGGAGCGTCATCTTATGCGGGTTCGGCTCCTAGGGAAAGACTTGGCAACCTGTCCCACCGGTACGCTGAGAGGCCGCCTCAGTCCGGGTTCGGAAAAACTGTTGTTATGGGCCTCGGACACCTATGAGAAGGGTTTTCCCGAGCTACCTGGGAAGGCCTTTGCCCCTTTGAGTTCTGCCTTCTTCGGTATCTCGGGAAAACTGTTATCATAGCATTCACGAGACCCCCCAGCGAAGAGGTTCTCGAGACCCATGAGAACAGTTTTCCCAAGACCCGAAAAGAGGCGACGCTTGAGCGCGCAACGAGGCACGGGCGACGCTGCTTACACTAGCGGCCGAGTCTGCATACTCTGGCGCTCCAGGTCACCGCGGCCCCTGCTGGGCTTCGGGTCTGACGTCCTGGCGCCCCATTCTGATGGGGACATCGTTCACACCTTTGAACGCCATCACCCGCCTTGTCCCCATGTTCAAATATTGCCCACGCGCTGCGCCCCGTCAGAATCAGAAAAAAAATTTTCGGGAAATTGATAATGAGAATAGATTTGCGCTTCATGCTTTTCTGTGGCTTGATATTAGCACTGGCGCCGACGACGAGCATGGTCATGAAGGTTCCGGAGCAGGAGGTGTCTGGGAGCCAGGCGAGATTCCGTACGAAAAAATCCTGTACACAGCTTGCGCATTGGGTCACATGCCCCTAGTGCAGTTGCTGTTTGAGCGGCGTAGTAAGGCTTTTCTGCAAGCAGCGCAGTTCGAGAACGGATTTGTGATTTCTGCGGCCAACGGCCAGACCGAAGTACTGCAGTTGCTGCTCGACCTGGAGTTGGATGACGTGGAGCAGGAGCGAAATCAAACATTACACCAACAAGGTCACTCTGATTCACCAGAAAATGCAACGAAAGCAAAATTGAGTACAGCAAGCCAACAAGAACCCGACGCCGCTGTTGAAAAGCAAGGTGAAGGTCTGCTTCTCAATCCGAATGGTGTTTGCACGGCGCGAGATTCTCGGTATTGGGGTAAAACTGCGTTGTTCGCTGCGTGGGAGGCAGGTGAACTGGATGCATTGGCCCTCCTCATACAAATCGGGGATGTAGATGTGAATCGCGTGTGCCACATTAGGACCGGCGATGCCACGCCAGGATGTTGCACCGTCAGCGAGTGCGGCAACTCCTTACGTCCTTCAACAGTGCAGCTGACCGGACGAGAATCGATGGTTCCATCGCAACACGATGGTGGAATCTTGCGTAGCCCGCGTGGGCGTGATGGAGGTACTCCTGTGTCTCGAAGCGCGGCCAGTACTAACCCTGACGGCAGCGCGAAACGCAAGAAAGGCGAGGATCGAGCAGAAGCTGAGCGCAAAACATCAGATGGAGCTGTTGTAAATGGGAACGGGAAGTTAGAGGAACAAGAAGATCAAAGAGGTGGAGAAGAACGCACAGACTCAAAGAGCGATGAAGAGCCAGATCGTGTGGAGCTGAGTGCGAGTGACAAAGACCGAGACGGCAACGGCATGGACCGCGACAACCAAACGCTGAAACAAAACTTTCACCAGAATCAGGACAAAGAGCTGCAGGGAGAAGCTGCCAGAGGAGAGTCGCGCAGTGTCTTTGTAGCCGCTGCTGACGCTGGACAGATCGAGGTGTTGCAGTTTTTCTTGGCACGCGAGGATCTTGATGTAAATGCTGTGGATGATTGGTTTTACGGACAGACCGCACTGCACCGTGCTTGCGTAAATGGACATATGAACGTCGTGCAGCTGCTGTTAGATCAAAAGGGACTGGATGTAAATGCGCTATATGTTGAGCAGCAGGGTGAAGAGCAGCATGTTGATGAGTCATCCAAAATTGGTGTCGAAGAAGGAGCTCGCCAAGGTGCGCAATCGGATAAAGTTGACGAGGGTTGTTGCAAGGTGATCAGACAGCCTGAGCAAACTCCATTTTCGACAGCGACCGCGTGTGTTGAAGCCGAACAACCGCAAAGCGATCCCACCACGGCAACTACACCGACAAAGCCCCTCGCTAAGCTTGATAACGAAGATGAAGATCTTGATTTTACAGCCAGAACTAAAAAGCGGGAGGAAAGTAAGATTATCATCAAGAAGCAAGAAGCCGAAGGCCGACTATACGGACGCGACGTGAGCGAAATTTCCTTCACAGCGTTAGCGCTTGCGGTGAAAAATGAGGAAATCGAGATAGTCCGTGAAATCCTTTGCAACTCTGATGTTGCGCGAGAAGACCCCACTCACCCTTGCTCTCCGTGGGCGTTAGCGGGTAGCATTGAGATTGTCATCGAAGAAAACGAAGTGGTCGTCGACAACTGCAATGTTGTCAGGGAGCTTCTGGCTATGCGAGGCTTTGACCCTACGCAAACCGAGCGTTTACGCCAGATTCTGGGCACGCGAAACAATGCTGACGATGAACAGGATGGAACTGGCGAGGAGTCTCCGACAGGAGATACAACATCGCGGCATCATCGGCGCAACTACAGTATTAATGAACGTGGCGCTACTGCTAGTACACCTAAACAAGAATTAGAACTCCACCGAGTAAATCTGGACTTAATACAGCCATCCACTCGTCCTCCTGCTCCGGCTGTGGGGCATAATAGATCGACGCCGATGTCACTAAGAACTCCGAATCAAGCAAAAGGCACAGCTCCGACACCGGCAGCAGACCACCTAAATAGCCGTGCCGCTCCAGGTGCTGGGGGTGTGGTCAAGCCTTCATCAAATGACCTCGAGGCTACTGATCGTCCCAAACAAGTATCGTTTTCACCAAGAAGGGACTGGGACCACAAGACTGGTAAGGAACAAAATCGAGACTGCCGAGAAGAAGGAGGAGACCATTCATCTTCCAAGAAAACTACACCTCCTTCACCACACGACATAATGGCCGAGGTGCATCGTGAAATCATGGAAGATTTTTGCAGTCGAATCTCGAAACAACGGGCCTCTGTTGCTGTGAAAAAAGCGGAAGCAGATTTGCAAAATGCGACTACAGAAGTTGACCTTAGAGAGGCCAGTAGAACACCTGGAGGAGGAGAAGCAGCAAGTCCTTCTTTAAGAAAGTTTTGTCCTCCTATGATGCAGCACGTAGTGCAAAGCATCCGAAGTGTAGACGGAGTCAAAAGCAATAGTGATCCAGCTGTTGTAACAGGATCAGCAAAACAGCAGCACGATGACCGCGCCGGATTACAACATCAGGGGAGCGCCAACGGAAGCGGCAGCACGACTGAAGGTGCAGCATTTTGTCCTCAAATGACCTCACTGCCACAGCACTCCCACTTGAGTCCAGCACTGATTGTCGCTGGTGCGGATAAAACAAAGGAGCTTCGCGAACCGAGCACAAAAAGTTGCACCAATTCACCTTCCACGGATCACGAATTCAGCGTTAACACTCTACAAAACGGAGTACAGCCTTTGCTCGGTGGAGACGATGAAGATGCTGTCGTCCTCCAGCAAAATGGAAAAGAAGTGGAAGATCGTTCTGCACAGCCTAATGCTCTTACTCCTGAACAAGTCATAATTCCAAGTACAACTACTTTAACCACTAGTATCATGATGAAGTCATCATGTAACAACACCAACACTAGTCAAGGAGGACCGACACGCTCTCGAAGAATTGTGGTGACCCTGGAGAGTGAAGAATTGGTAACTACATCAGCTTCGGAGAATGGAGGGAAAGACCGAGTTCAAACCTCTCTTGTCTTGCACGCAAATTCAAGTATCCACGAGATTGCTGTGTTTTTACTAGCCGTGTTGGCTCACTTTTTTCGAATGTCTTTTGTCGTGGACGCTCACCAGCAAGATCGAGTTATGTCTTCGATGATGCGGCAGCACCACCAGGAGCAAGCTGCGACATCAAACGACGCGGTTCCGGATCCGAAAACCAACGAAGCAGGAGCCGAGCCGTCGAGATGAGCAAGTGACTTGAAGGTGGACAATATCAATATGAATATGCGACCTCCGTGACCGCGCATAGCTCCTGTCGTCCTCATTTACAAAGGGTCTTAGCTTAGCATAATTGGCGAGAAAGGTATTATTATAGATGACGGTCACAAAAATAGACGAGAAGAATATGCACGCACAATATCGTAATACCAATATGATAGAGGAAATGCAAGAACACTTTTTCCAATCTTCGACTTTCGCTCGTTTCAGCTATGAACGCATCTCAATATCAATGTCTAAATGTTGATCGCGTTCTAACCAAAGCTCCTGTAGCATGTATGGAGAAGTGTCATTCCCTTGTGTGCAAGACGCGAAGTGGGATTGTGCAAATGTATTAAAGAAGACCGATGGAATAAACACCGTACGGACAAGACGAGAAAGAATATGATGTTTTTGGAACAAGATTAGAAGATCCATTCTTGTGATTACTTATACTGACAATGCGAGCTAAAAAGAATTATACGTCTAATAATTTTCACTGCCACTAGAAGTATTTTTGAGATGACTAAGACAAACGAACTATAAGAATTGTCAACTTCGTCTTATAAAATTATTATATATATACTAGACTTCAGCGCCCGATGTCTCTCCCTCCACTAGAATCCTCCACCTCCTTCGAGCATTTCCTTCGCCAAGACGCGAAGTGGTCCGCGCCAGAAGAGTCGGAACGGAGGCGCCGCGGAATTTAACAGAGGAGGCCGCGCCTGTCTCTGAGGTTTTTGAGATGTCTCAGGGTTTGCCTGCTTTTGAATTCAGTGCAGGGCTTTGGATTGGGGGCCCTGGGTACGAAGCTTCGCGCGTAAGTCTTTGAGGTGGAGACTTGGGGCGAGATTGATGGAAGCTTTTGGCTTGCAGCTTGAAGCTCGCGGCCGCTTTCAGTGTGAAGATTTGAGCCTCAGCAAAGCCCGAGGCGTAATGCTTCGGGCTTGGCGCTTTGATTTTGAAGCTTTGGGCCTGCACGCTGAAGCTTTGGACTCGAGCGAAGTGCTTGGCTTGAAGGGTTTGGCCTGAGGTCTTGGGTCTGAAGTTTTGGACTTAAGATCCTGGGGCTGAATTGCTCAAATCCCAAAATTTTTAATTTTCGACATTTTTTCTGAAATTCAATTTCTTGGATTAATTTGAATTTCTCAAACTTCGAAGCTTTCCGCACTATTCTGTCGCTTTGGGATTGAATTCGCTGGGTTCGAATTCCTCAAATCTCAAAACTTTTGATTTTATTAAGACGCTTTCTCTGAGATTCAATGTCTTGGATTTCAATTTCTCAAATTTCGAAGCTTTCCGCATTATTTTGCTGCTTTTTTTAGGATTAAGCCCGCTGGTTTTGAATTTCTCAAATTCCAAAACTTTCCATTTTGAATAAGAAGCAGTTTCCATGGGATTAAATTTCTTGGATTTGAATTTCTCAGATTTCGAAGCTTTCTGCGTTATTTTGGCGCTTACTTCTTTGGGACTGAATTCGCAGGATTTGAATTTCTCAAATCCCAAAGTTTTTAACTTTGAACGTTTTTGCGGCGATTCAATTTCCTGGATCGTGAGCTCATGGGTTCAGTTCATGCGGATGGGTCCGTGACTTAATGAGTTTAGGAGTTCGTGGGTTCCTGGGTTTGTGAGTTCCTGCGTTCCTGGGCTCCGGAGTTCTTGAGTTCCTAAGTCCTTAAGATCATGAGTTACGGAGTTCGTGAGTTCCTGGGTTCATGGGTTTGGGGTCTGGTGGTTTTTGTGTCGGAGGTTTAGGGTTTAGGTGTTGGAGGTGGAGGGTTTAGGTGCTGGAGGTTGAGGGTTTGGGTGTTGGGGGCTTGGAGGTTGGGGGCTTGGGTGTTGGAGGTTGGGGGCTTGGGTGTTGGAGGTTGGGGGCTTGGGTGTTGGAGGTTGGGG